TTAAAGAAAAAAAAGTGGCTTTATCTTAATAAATCGAGTAGATATTGCCTCCACCGAACTTAATATCCAGTGTCCTTAGTGCGAGTTTTTTTAACATTCTCGATAGAGTAAAAGTTAACTCAAATTTGTATGCAAAACGTTTGCCTAAGTTTGCCGCTAGGGCACCGAACAATGCCGCACACAGAACAATGTCAATAAATGACGAATGTAATGTGAACAGTGAGCACTTCTCTACATACTTCGGGTTCGCAACAAATTGTGACGGTCATGTACTTATTGCAAAAACTGGTATGCAAATGTCAATCGACTTAAAAACGTAATTCGCGCTTATAAAATTGATATATCCATACATATCCATACCTGGATCTACTAAATAAAAACTCGCCGAGTGCTATTTAGACCCGAACAAATATTTTAATGCGTTAATGTGACAAATGTGTGTGTGTGTTAGCATCTCTCTGTACGAAGCTGATGGTTTTTCCAAATCACCTACACGTTGCAAGGGTTTAGAGGTTTTCAGGTTGCCAGCTAATTGTAATTAACATTAAAGTCATTAAAAAGTGTGTAAGACGAAAATTCTCTATCTATGTTTAATGATCTGTTAAATAATACTATTGTAGAAAGGTACTTAAAGTAAGTAATTTACAAGTGCATAGTTAATCAACAAGGACATGAATTGTGATCGAAACTAATAACCGTCAATTGTTGGTTGGAAAATTGGTGACAGCTAAGCCATTAATAACTGACTTAAAGATACTACCCGAAGGAGAAACCGGCATGAAAGTATCAGCTGGGTGAAAGTTTAAAGAAACATAACTATTAGGATAAACATTTTCTAGTTTACCTTGGCAGGCGGTTTGAATCGATTAGTTTTGCTACCAATGCATCTCTAACAGACTTCCATCAACCTATGAATAGTACAAGTAATTTTTTTTTTTTTTTCTACATATTCTTGTGACGGCAAGGGGTCCCCGATTAACCGGGCGAGTAGGTGAGCTCACGGGGCTCTAACCTGACGAAGTTGCTAACACGAACCCTAGCAAGGGCCGTGCTTCAAAATCTACCACCGGATCGGAAACGCGACCCACTGAGAAGATCCGGCGAGAGACTCAGTGAGCTGTGTCTAAAGGTTTTTTTCATCGTCGACACCTTCGTCGCAAATGACGGTTTCGACGAGAACGATGTTGAGGTAGTGGATTTGGAAGATCTAAAACGAAATGCTTAGGGCGACGGTGACTGTTTACCGCTCAGTCCGCAGGATTGGGCATTTGCACGTCATAAGCATTATAATACTCACTCCTTAACGACTACTGGAGACTAGAGATGTCGTTCAATTTCAATATAATAAATAAATAAAAAATAATCGCACTCAGACATCCGTTCAGTATTGACGACGGTACAAGTCGAAGGATACATAACAATGATCGGTTACCAAAGGCCATAATAATATGATGTCACGGTGCAAAGTCCGCTGTACCAATTTCGCTGAACAAATCAACGATGAAGCCCAAAACATTTCGGTTTAGTATCGTATACATTCGCGCGATCAGAAATTCAGGCTAATTGATGGTCAGCTAGGAATTATTCTCAATTTTATAATGTTAATCGATGACGCAAACTTTGATCAGCCTAGAGCGAAGAAATTTGATCTTAAAACGTTAAAACTGTAAACTGTATAGCTGGTTAATTTTTTAGTGCCAGCCATGCTCCCTGTGTTATTGTACCTCTATAATATACATGTAAGTACTATTTTTAGGTTATGTTAGGTTATCCTTCTCGAATCATCTCGATTATTAAAACAGACACAAGATAGAAGGCAGGGAATTTAGGTTCTCTTATTTTGTGTTTGAAAAATACGTTTATATATAAATTGATGATTGATTGAATAGAAGGTTCCTTAGTTATTTCTCCAAAATGTGAGTTATGCACACTACAATTAGAATTGAACCTCAAAATGCCGTACAAGAGTATCATATCATTGTGAGATGTTTTCTTAGAGTTCAGTTTCGCGTTTGATGTTGAGCTGTCGGATTGTGTTCGTTAATACTATTTTCCACTTATAGCATAGCATATATCGCTCATTTCATGTAGTATTAGACACCGCATGACGATTACAACCACTCAAGAGTCAAACTGAGGAAGATGTCGCTCATATTCATACATTCTTATCTCACTGTTAATTATGTACTTGATCCAGACTATATAAATATGCAATTAGTTCTGTTAACCTCATTCCGGCCACGTTCCTCATACATGCATGTTTCAAGTTAAATATAGATCCGAAGTTTGAACCGTATGCGTTATGAAGCAACACTTTGTTAAATACGTTGGTGACACAACTTTGTATTCGACTAAATCGTAATGCTTTTGGTCAGTGATATTGGCACATACGTTTTGCCTGACACATTCAGATAAACAACGTTCTAGAAAAATAGTTATTGAAACATCACAATTTTATTGCTTAGGCCCACTTGCTGTTAAGTAGTTAGCGGAGCTCATGGCAATCAATAGCGTAAATGCCGCCATACACCTTGAGACATAAGTTCTAAGTCTCAGTTTAATAGTACAACGACCGCCCCACTCTTCAAACCGGAACGCATTACTGCTTCAGGGTAATTTTTTTTAAATTCACCAACTATCTGATACCACCGATGCCTACACATGTTGGGTCACAGGACGCCTTACTCCCAGCAGCGCAGATTTTAATGATTTGAATGCAAACTGGTGGTAGGACCACTTGTGAGTCCGCGCGGGTAGGTACCACCACCCCGCCTATTTCTGTCATGAAGCAGTAATGCGTTTCGTTTTGAAGGGTGGGGCAGCCGTTGTAACTATACTTGAGACCTTAGAACTTATATCTTAAGGTGGGTGGCGCATTTACGTTGTAGATGTCTATGGGCTCCAGTAACCACTTAACACCAGGTGGGCTGTCAGCTCGTCCACCCATTTAAGCAATACAAATAAATAAAATAAAAACATGTTGAGGTGGATCTATTTGCACGAAATCCCAGTTTTTATATGTTCAGTATATTTCAGTCAACACAAGGTTTACGTTGAACGTTTCCTGGTCGACACGACTGTATGCTAATGGCGGTATAAATCAGGTTTGCGAGGCTGTTTCCAGGAAGGAACACATACTACATTTATATCGATGCTTTTATGTTGCGTAATAGATTTCATGGACAGAGATTAGGCTATAGCTTATTACCATTGGCTGAGGACGTAAGCGATGGCAAACTGGCGCCTTCTGTAATTTGTTCATTTACGTGTTGCCTATATTTAATTGAACCATCAAATCCATTGTACTTTTAAAATAAATTCATTAAATAATGGCCGCCATTTCAAAAACCGAATCTAGTAACAACAAAGGATCGTAACGAATAACAATGGGCGGCCATAAATGAAAAATAACGTTTGAATATGGAACTGCAGTTCCAAAATCAAATTCGAACATCGTTTAAGTAAATTTGAACTTTATTGTTCTTGGCACATAAACTAAAGCAACTTAACGAATGAATGGTTTCGGTCTTGCCGATCACGCAACGTGCACGTGCGCCCGTCCACGGTAGAGAGTTCACAGCTGTTGTAGAACGTTTGGACTTTGGACTGTGTATACAATCACCGGTGCATGAGACGCGTGAATAACTCCGTCCGCATCGGCTTTAAGGGTGATGATATATTTCTGTACGGTAAATCATATTATGTCGCTACCTGGCATTGTGAAATACACTTTGAAATTTCGTAATCATACAGCGTAATCCATTAATTTAAGGCCAAAGGCAATTTTGTCGCTAACACGAAGTTTTCATTTGAGTTTGAGGCTTTATGCAATATCTTTGAATAATACTCCATGGTTTACACACACGGAGTGTTGTTGTTATGTTAGATAGTTATAATGCGGTTAATTCATCTATACGAGGAGAATTTAATCTTTAGGCATTCAATGTCATAAATCAAGTCAATGTTAGACACGACGGTACTTTTACGCCTTTTTCACGGCTTCCCTTTACGTCATCTTGGGCGTGCTCTTAAATCTTGTATTATTTTATATTATATTTATACAATCGCTAAATATTGTTTTCTGAGCACTTATTGTTGGGCGATTCGCTGTTTCCATGCACGTATTTCAGTGAAACTGACTAATTAAACAAGCTATTTTATTAGTAGACTGTCCTAAATGCAAAACGCATACAAATACTGTCTGGAATGACGCCAACGAATAATGAAAATTCTGGCGCCAAAATTCACAATTGCATATTTCAGATACACGTAGAAAGAAATAACAATCTGAAAACCATGACCATCATAACAATCATAATTTGAGCGTTACATAAAACCTGTGACTTTTCAGTTGTGCTACTCGCCGTCACGAAGGTGTAGCGTGTTCAAATCACAGCATGCCGTGCCGGGTCCAAAGTCCGCAAGGTAACAGTGACGTAGAGCCATCGTGCCAACGATTTGTGCCGTGTTAACGATAAGAGACTACAAATCCTTTTTTACAGGTAATTGTTGCTCTTTCGTGTATATAAATGATGCAGCTTCAGTTATTTTTTATTGTCTAATTTACATTTATGTTTAAAAAGTTCAAGTTCGTAATTGTATTAGTCAAATTTAATTTAAAATCGTTAGCTGTATTATAGTTAGAAATCAAATAAATATAATGCTCGTTGTTGGTTTGGAGACAAAAGCAAGTTAATGTAAACAAAAGTGTGATCACACATCAAGATCCCACATGAAACTTTTTGATGAAGATAACAAATAAAATCTTAAAATATAATATTCTCTCNAAAAAGTTCAAGTTCGTAATTGTATTAGTCAAATTTAATTTAAAATCGTTAGCTGTATTATAGTTAGAAATCAAATAAATATAATGCTCGTTGTTGGTTTGGAGACAAAAGCAAGTTAATGTAAACAAAAGTGTGATCACACATCAAGATCCCACATGAAACTTTTTGATGAAGATAACAAATAAAATCTTAAAATATAATATTCTCTCTTACCTTCTCAAGGCACTCTTGACCAATCGCATTTGGGTCCACCTTGATTTCCAAGATCACAGAATTAGGTTGACTGACTAACCACATTTTGGTCAACATTTCGAACGAAAATACGTAAAATTTAATAAATCAGGTCGCAAGATATTTTCGTTAATGAATTTAACACACGTTACAATTGTTTATCTCACACGCGCAAAATATTTATTTAAAAAAGTCCTTCTTAATTCGCTCTGTGAAATGTTTATCGCGTATTCTTTGTGGAAGTAAAACTGCGAATACTTCCAAGCGACGGCCATACTACGTTAAGTTTACCACCGAAATGATAAAGAAAATCGTGACGTCTCTATGCGGGGAACGCTTTCTGTGCCAGACTACACGATATTTTTAAAACAGAACCATTGTTGGATTCGTTTGAAACAATTTTAAAAGCGTCATATAGCACACGCAATGTATGCTGAGACGGCAAACATTTGTTTTGATCATGTATAGTTGATTTGAAATTGGTAGAAACAAAATTGCATTTGCTATTTCTCTTGGGGCTGTGAATAAGAAAGAGACAGATGCACGGAAAATCCAATAGAGAGTGACAAATATATTGAACTGTTTAATCATTGGTAGGACATTGTTTAAAAGTCCATATGGGTATGTCCACTATTTGGTCTATTTTAAATAAGAAGTAGCCGTTATAAAATACAATTTAAACATCGAACTCATATCTCAAGGTAGCATACATACTGCTACGATGTCTATGGCTTCCGTTAGTCCCGTTATCCACGAATTTCGTGTTAAGTCGCCTGCGTCTGCTCGTTTAAAAAATTCAAAAAATACGACAATGTTGCAGTAAAATTTATACAGTTTTGCCCAGTTTGTGGAATTTATAGAATTGTTTTTCCTTCTTCACAAAATGTGAGAAAAAGAAACTAAGTTGCAGGACGTGGCCAGGCGAGTTCTTTCAAAACGTTTACTGAAGCCTCAGTATATTCCCACAATCTTACTAGGGGCATGATTACATTTCATCATAATTTAATTTTAATTCAATCTATTTCATCCCATTGATAAATAGTTCAGATAAATCAAGATTAATTCATTCCTCTCCATTATACTTTTCCTTTCAAAAAGTTTAAGTATGTAAACATCAATATGAGAAAATAAATAAACTCGACATGAAAAAAGGAGATTTTTAAGACAAAATTTTGAAAAAATGGCTGATAATTTACAGAGCGGTAAAAAGCAAAATTATTGATATTTTTATCATCATGCCTTGTAGGCCAGTTCATAGATTAAGAAAATATAAATTAAAATATTTAAATACATAGGTAGGTAGGTACACTTTTGTTCTCAAATATATTAAGTGTATAATCTATGCACTTTTGTCATTTTATTTGCTTTCTTGCTTTTAGTGACATCTGTGAGAATTTGGAAGAAGCTTTGATCGTACAGTCCAGTTATAGGTACGTTCCGTTATCATTGATTCTTGTGTTGATAGTAAGAAAAAAATAATCATTCACACTTACTTTGCATGATATAAAAAAGAAGAGGAAATAATCACTATATTATGAATATCTTAGAAAAGAGTTTACGAAAAAACAAACAAATATAAAATGGAAATTTTTATTGTGGAATCAATATCACACTCCGTTATACGCAAAACATTCAAACCACGAGCTGACTGTAGCGCCACTTGCGACAACATACATAACTAATTAAATCATATGACTTTCGTCACGACTCTTCATATCGCTTTATTGATTCGTGTCTCGGTTCTCGTACTCGGTCTTGGTCTACATAGTTTTTGTGCGTTTTCGATATGGCGAGTCAGACCCAAGGAATCCAACAGCTTCTAGCTGCTGAAAAACGCGCTGCGGAGAAAGTCAGCGAGGCAAGGAAGCGTAAGTTTTCGTTTCGTAGTTTTAATCACATTACGCCCTTTGCTGTTTCTTGGGAAAAAAACATATATCCTTGTCCTATGATCTGTAGTAACATGTAATATTCTATTAACTTTTTACTTCCTATGTGTTTAAAATAATCAAAATTCATATTTTGAGCAGAATCCATGGTCGTCACATGATTTAATTCAGATCATCGATATTACAGAGCTCAATCCTATTCTTCATTGATTATGAAAATGAAACTTGACAAGTAACCAATCTTAATTGTTGTAAAATACTAAAATGATATTTCTAACACCAATACAACGACAGTGGAGCAAATGATGATATGATGATGAAAAGTTTTCTCACCCGATTAATTGAACTTAGTTTATTATGAAATCCCTCCATCCTGATCATTATTCCCGCGAAGCAGATAAGCGTAAATTAGGTTGGTCGTACTCATTTAAGACATAAAAAAGGAACTATAAACCAGCATAATTTCGTATAGTTTCGTTAAATCTTGAATGTTGATGAATTAGGAGTAATATTCAATCTATAACTTATTTTGAGCATTCCTGGGGTTTGAGTTATCTCTGCTAAATTGCGTCAGATACCATTTAGCTATGACTAAATACAGAAATTATGAAATTTTCAAATTTCTATTAATATTGTTAGCTCCAATTTTTTTAATATCACATCATAGGCATCATATACCGTTTTAAAATGCCTTTAATTGGTTATTTAATTTAAGGGCATCTTCTTTACTTAAATGATACCTACACTTTTTGATATGACATAATTTCATCAGACTAATAGAACAAAAAAATAAACAATAAGAAGTCTATGGTTTTTACCAAAAAATTATTATGTTAATGTTGTAAGAAAAGGTATAAAAATGAAATGTTTTTATAACAGGAAAAGCGAAACGCCTAAAGCAGGCCAAGGAGGAGGCTCAAGATGAAGTTGAAAAGTACAGACAGGAGNACCTACACTTTTTGATATGACATAATTTCATCAGACTAATAGAACAAAAAAATAAACAATAAGAAGTCTATGGTTTTTACCAAAAAATTATTATGTTAATGTTGTAAGAAAAGGTATAAAAATGAAATGTTTTTATAACAGGAAAAGCGAAACGCCTAAAGCAGGCCAAGGAGGAGGCTCAAGATGAAGTTGAAAAGTACAGACAGGAGCGTGAAAGGCAGTTCAAAGAATTTGAAGCCAAGGTATGTAAACATTCACAAACAGTCCACTGTAACTCTACTGTAAAATTGTCAATCACCGGCTATTTAGGTTAAATAATATTTTCCTATATTATCTATTCTAATATTATAAAGCTGAAGAGTTTGTTTGTTTGAACGTCCTAATCTCAGGAACTACTGGGCCAATTTGAAAATTTTTTTCAGTGTTAGATAGCCCATTTATTGAGGAAGGCTATAGGCTATATAACATCACGCTAAGACCAATACAAGCGGAGCACCAATAAAGAATGTTTCAAAATCTATTTTTTTCCTTTTGAGAGTTTCCGTATGACAGAATTGTTCCCCTTTAAAATATCTAAAAAAAGGTCTGTGACAGCATATGTCTATATGTTAAGGTTGGCTTACTATATCACTCACGTTTTTTATGCTAACCAAATTTGTTCTAAAATAAAGCATTATTTGTGAACAATTCTGCGCGGACGAAGTCACTGCAAAAGCTAGTATTATTATATTATGCTCGAATAAAGAGGAGGCAGCTTTAACATTTGTGCTGGGACTTTTAATTGCATCTTTCATGGTTTCAAGTTATCTTATTTATAGGTGCCAGTAACTACTTAACAATTATTCTTTATTGATCTTTGTAATCAGTCTTGTAGATTGCAACATTCATATTGTGGTGTCTCAGAAATCCACCATTTTTTGTTTTAACAATTCTAGATTATTACTAAAGGCCAGTTGTGTAGTGTGGGATTATCGTAATGTATTGAAAAATATGTTAGATAACACTCCACTTTGATTCGTCTTGCCATTTGCATTACATTAGTTATATTTTTCTGTCTCTTGTACACTCTCTCAGTAAATCCTGTATTAGGAGTACATTATTTCAGCTCAGAGGATTAATGTGACAGTGTATTTGGATCATTTTATGATTATGCAACAGTCTCATCCTAGTATCCTCAATATACTACTAAATTATAAAATCAATTTTTTCTTATGTACAAAATTGTCAATGTACAAAACACTTGATCAAAATTATCTGATAGTTCCCTTCCAAGCCATTACAATCATCAGTACCTTGATTTATCTAGTGTATGATTTAAAAGATTTTTAGGCATTATAAAGGATTTTTATGACTAGATACTTGATTAAAAAAATGTAATTATAACATTTTTTTTCTGTTTCTGTTACATTAGGTTGAGTTTGAGCTACAAATAAATTTCATGTTTATTCCAGTCCATTTTAGTGATTATATTGTTAAAACATCCTAGTCTGAAATGAGCTTTTTTTTTCCTTGGTATTTTTTTTACTATCTAGAATTTGTACTCCTCATTTGCATAATAATATGTTTTAAATCTTACGTCTATAAAATCATAAGAATTTATTGTATTTTTGGTACAAAATTCATAATTATCTTTATTACCATCAATGTGTGTGTATTATTTCACTATGCTAACAACACGAAAGAACTTTGTTGATCTCATTTACAAGATGAGTTGATGAGTCACTGAAGAGACTTTGTAATTTATACAGTTACTAAAGAATCATTTGAAACTAAGACAGCTCTGTCATAACAATCACTACATCATTATTGGCGGTAGGACTTCTTGTGAGTCCGCGCGGATGGGTACCACCGCCCTGCCTATTTCTGCCTTGAAGCAGTAATGCGTTTCGGTCTGAAGGGTAGGGCAGCCGTTGTAACTATACTGAGATCTTAGAACTTATATCTCAAGGTGGATGGCGCATTTATGTTGTAGATGTCTATGGGCTCCAGTAACCACTTAACACCAGGTGGGCTGTGAGCACGTCCACCCATCTAAGCAATAAAAAAAAAATCGTGAAAGCAAAAATAGAAAAAATAATAACAATGGATAAATGTTTCTTATTAACATCCTGAAAAGTTGAATACGTCATTATTATTTTTTTAGCACATGGGTACCAGGGAAGGTGTTGCGGCCAAGATCGATGCCGAGACCAAAGTTAAGATCGAAGAGATGAACAAAATGGTCCAAACACAGAAGGAGGCGGTATGTTGTTATTTAGATTAATCTGTGTTATAAGTTTTTTATTTCAATGAAAAAACACCACCAATATTTTTGACTCAAAGACATAACTTTTTAATACATAGTAGTTTTTTTTTCAATATTGGTAACTGGCTTCTTATGTTGCCACTATTGCCAGGGTCCATCATAATTTTTTTGTTTTAAATTTTCAAATGTTTTATTCCAGGTCATCAAAGACGTCTTGAATCTGGTGTATGACATCAAACCCGAACTCCACATCAACTACCGCTTAAATTAAGCAAATTATTGTATTTAATACATAATTTACGCCTAATTAACTTAATTTGATCAACTTTATTTTAAAAAAAAATTGTATATTAATTTGACAGATCATTGTAACAAGCGTATGTAGGCAGGTTTTCTTGGAGCCGTCTTAATAAAAAAAAAAACAGCAAGGCGCAGAAAATGAAATGTCAAAGTGCAATTTTTTTGCCAAGTAATTTATTGTATGAGAAATCAGCTCGGTACCATTCCAAGTGTTGAGAATTCGCTACGATAATTTAAAATTTAAATATGAAAAAAAATAATGAAATGTAATCAACCTGTATGTTACTCGATGTTGTATGTTGAATAGATTATAAATAAACGTTGAAAAAAGGCTTTTAAATCTTTTCTTTGTAGTTCAAGGATGTGTACAGTATTAGTGTAAAAATATATTGTATTGATGTCAATCATTGTTTTATTGCTTTAATATGGTCAGTAAGAAGTCACAGTCATTCTACTAGTACTAATGTAATGTACTAAGATTATCTAACCCATAAACACAGCCCACTGGAAGCGAATTAATGTCCAGACGAGAGCCGAACACTAATTCAACTACGACAGTGCACTAATTAAATTGACTATTCCACCGTCGTTATCTACTTCTACTTATGCATTTTATCAAAGACACCTATGTAATATTTTAGGAATAGCTAACGTGTGGCGCGAGGGTTCGTAAATAGGTATTAATAAACATAAAATTAGGACCTTGAATAAGTTCTCGCTGTTTATTTCCAAAACAAAGTCTTTATTTAAAAAAAAAAAGTGTTTGTGCAAGTCACACATGGTAGAAGTGAAACTTATAAATGTAGATATACTGACTATCCCACTACATAGGCGCATATATATTATGAACAATGCTTAGTAGACGATAGTGGGGATGCTACGAAGAGTCGCACAAAGAGGAGACCGAGAATGTCTAATGTGTTCTATCTCATTCTCTCGCCGGCTGAATCCTATACATTTATGTGTTTGTGTCTCTATGGACTTATTTTTTCGTTTCATCGAGTTTGAAATCACAACGATTCTAAAGAAGTTTCACTTCAATTATAAGGAACAAAAACATTTTATTCAAAGTACATATTTCTTTGTTTATTAACATCGATAGCGTACAGGTGCTGCTACACGGCGCCATTAGTGGTAAATGTTAGCGCTGCTGTGGACCTAAGAAGGACTTGGCGCCTCCTAGGATAACTTAATAAAATTACATTAACTAGAAACAAGGACCAGTGACTATGTTTCAATTCAGGAGACACCAATAATCCCGTGCTGCTCCAGCCAGAGTGCAACGACCCCTACGGTCGAGAAGACGGCGGGCTGATCTACAGCGTCGCAGACTTTAGAAGAAAACGCCAGTATGCCCACTAAGAAGCCGTACATAATGGCTGGTCCACCGCCGTCGTGCTGCAACCATTGACATTAAAATTATCCTAATGCGATATTGTTAGATTCGACCAGCGAATGGTTTAATGTCCGCCTGATATCACTACGAGAACAGCGTAATCCTTCTTGAGACACGAGGTCTGTGTGCTTAGTGCGAGTTTTTTAACGTTCTCGATAAATCAAATCAAATCAAATCAAATCAAAAAATGTTCATTCAACATAAATGAAAGTACATACTTGTTGAACGTCAAAAGAACTACCACCATAACATAACGTAAAAGTTAGCTCATATAATTTATATGGAATGGGATCGTTTGCGTACGTTTGCCGCTAGGGGCGCTGTTCCAACTGCATATAAGATTGGCTTAACTTTTACGCTATCGAGAACGTTATGTTTTTTTTTTTATTGCTTATATGTGTGGACGAGCTCACAGCCCACCTGGTGTTAAGTGGTTACTGTAGCCCATAGACACCTACAACGTAAATGTGCCACCCACCTTGAGATATAAGTTCTAAGGTCTCAGTATAGTTACAACGGCTGCTCCACCATTAAAGCTGAAACGCATTACTGCTTCACGGCAGAAATAGGCGGGGTGGTGGTACCTACCCGTGCGTCCTCATAAGAGGTCCTACCAGTGAGTGGTAACTCCATGAAACTCGCATTAAGCACACTGAGCCCCATTTGTATAACGGCTGTCCAAACCTTGAAACTGTAACGCATAGTTATATCAAACGTGTCTTCACTGTGGGGAAGAGCGGCGGTAAAAGACTGTTTCATTGTCGAAGATGAGGAGGCGAGTTGTTGGTGTTGAGGTTATAGGAAGAGCCCGTCGATTCAAGTTTATTTGTCACACTAGAGCTGAACGCATGAATGTACATCTACCGCCGTGGTATCTATTAGGCGGACTCACAATACGCTTTGTTTTTTTTGTTTTTGTTATATGGGAGTATGCGCTCACGGCTCACGGCCTTAAGTGTTTATCGGAGTGATCAACAATGTTAATACCGCCACTGACCTTGAGACGAGTTGTAAGTCTCGGTTCTATAGCAGATATAAGGGGTCCTCAAATAGCATTTATTGAGAAACAGTATCGTTTCAACGTTTTAATTAACTGGATAAGAGCTATAGTTGTTACGTACACATACGATTGAATCATTCTAATTACTACTACTTACATTACAGATATTTTTCGCCGCGTGCCTCCGACCGGCACAAAAATTATTCCGTGTTACTAATTCTCTGAAAAGTTCAGTTTTAATGAAGATAATAAAATATTGTTCCTTACAGTTCTCTAGAAGTCTAGAGTATATTAACATAATAATATGTAGGTATGTGGGAATGGTTCGTAAGAATAATGAAGGGATGGATAAAATGAACACGAAAGGAGATTGAATTTTACAATATGGCGATATGACAGTAAGATCATATGAGGAAAATTCTGCAAAATGATTCCAGTGTTCCTTTATATGGAATCTTCAACGATCAATCCCTCAAACTTAGGGGCTCGCCCAGGATTGTTAAAGAATTTTCAGAGAAGTAAGAGAAAAAACAACGAAAGATTTAAAAAAGATTGAACTCGATGTGACGGGCGGCCATTTTAAATGAGAGCCACAACAACGTGTTAAATGTTTCTGAAATTTTTCGGTATAATGTAAACTAAAATATAATTTAGTTCGATCAATATTACCTATGTAAGGTCCGAAACATTTCATTCATCTTTACATTAGTTATTATAAAACCGTTTTTACTGACGTAGATGAGCAAAGGGTCTTTCAACCTACCAGCATGAACCTATAAAGTGATCTAAAATTGTGCTAGGTTCGTCGCCTACTTTGGGACATGAAGTGAATTTAAGATGTCTGAAAATCCCGGTCAGAGATCTTTGTTAGCTAAAGCGCCGCTTTAAGGATCGCCGGCCTACGAGCGATACACGATGGCAATAAATAGAATAAAAAGAATAAATAAACCACTGCACTGAACTGACTTGCCATATATTTCTTGACACAATTCCCAATCATAGATAGGTAGTTTTAGTTTCTGAAGTAAAACCTTGCCACCGGAGCCTCCTCTAGCCTGAAATCATCAAATACATTAAGTGTCTTAATTGATTATCGGATATTTATATCCTTAGGTATCAGAAACGCAGAGAAAATGAACTCATCTATACCTAGTCAGGTCATAAATTCTGTCACATGTTTAATGTAAAATAATTGAAACAAGTTTATTCATTATGTAACCATTCATATACCAAAATGAACTTAACAAAACATAGATTCTTATGACACTAAAGTTTATTCAAAATGACCTCCGTGATTTTGAATACAGGCCTTCAATCTGCGGGGCCAGTACTCTATCGCAGCACGAACGAGGTCCATGTCAATATCGGCGGCTGCCTTAATCAAGGATGGCTTGAGTGACTCCAAATTGGGATGAGGCTTTGAGCACGCCTTTTCCTCCAAGTGTTGCTATATCTTGTAATCTAACGGATTCAAATCTGGACTGGAGGAGGGCCAGTCTTCGTGCCGGATGAAGTCGATTTCACGCGCCGCCAGCCAGTCTTGTGTGCTCTTCGCTCTATGAGCTGGCGCCGAATCTTTTTGGAATACCCAGTGCCTGTTATTGAACATGTTATGAGAAACAGGTTCCACAAGGTTCGTCAGGACTGTATTTTGATACACAACTGCATTCGTTTTTACACCTTTCTCACAAAAATGTACCTCTGTTATGCCCCAATAAGAAACTCCCAACCATACCATGAGCGAGGATGGAAAATGACCTCGTTGGACACGCGGAATACGGTTGCTCGCTTCTTCACTACTGTGTGCGTACACCTTATCATTTTGTTTGTTGTAGCTCTCTTCTACGGTAAAAATTTTTTCATCCGAAAAAAGAATTTCCCGGTATTTTTTTCCCGCGTACCGCTTCAACAAAGCGCGGCATCACTTCAGTCTCAGGTCCATTAGACGAGCATTCAAACGATGTTCTGTTTTTCTTCGATATGCCCGAAGCCCTAAGTCTTCATTTAACATCCTTTTCACCGTGGTTCTGCTTAACCCCATCTGAAGGGCCAACAGTTTCTGCTTACGTTTGGGATTTCTTTGAATTCGCGCCTTCACAGCTTTTATCACTGCTGGAGTCCTAACAGACCCAGGGCGACCACTTCTTGACCTGTCATCTACACTAGAGTCTTTATTGTATCGTTTGATGGTACGATAAACGAATCTTTTGGTTATATTCAAATTTTTCAGTATGTTAAAAATTTGAATTGGCGCGTTACCGCAACGATGCAACGCAATAACTGGAACACGGTCTTCTTTAAGCGTCCACTCCATATTTAAAAATGAGTAAAATTCTAAAAGTATACATTTTTATTTTCATGAACAATTCAAAATTCGAATTCAATAAACTTTTTTGTGGCCAGCATTCTAAAAGAAAAGTTTTTACTGTGTGACAATACTTATGACCTGACTAGTTACATATAAAAATGAATTGCTGTTCGTTAGTCTCGCTAAAACTCGAGAACGGCTGGACCGATTTGGCTAATTTTGGTCTTAAATTATTTGTGGAAGTCCAGAGAAGGTTTAAAAGGTATTTATATATGAAAATTCTCTGAATTAAATAAAAATAACAATTTTGTTTGTCCTTTGATGTGTCCCCCATCGGACGGATTCCTTTTGTCTTTTATTTATCGATTGAGGCACTACGAAGTCTGCCGGGTCAGCTAGTAGATAATATTAATACAGAGTTCGATTGTGAATAAGATGGAGTCAACATTATTGGAATTACAGTAGTCCTATTTCTCCCTTCAAGAAACAAGTTGAACGAACTAACGCGCAGGTTCCAAAGGCCTGCTAAGTTAAGCTAAGCTACGTAGGTATCACTTTAAACAACAAATAATAAAAATAATAAACAAATAATAATTCAGAAGAGTTAGGCAGCAAAATATGGATCCTTCTAAGAAATTCGTTTTTTTTTGTATTTTTTTTAAAATAGTTATTTCAATATCTCTGGTTGTGAAACAATTTTAGTTACCACTTCGCTAAATTTTTATTGTTTGTAAATTGATTTCATAATAAATTTTTATCATAAAAATGACTAACCATAACAGATCCCCATCCTAAGAACAATACTTTACTATTAAACGGTATGATTCTGTCGTATGCAAATTTGATCTGTTTAACTTTTGAATCTTTATAACCCAATGAGATATTCCGGTGAAGTTCTAGTAAAGCGAAGTTGTATTCCAAAGTTTCTGGCTTATACTTCGGGTGAAAGTTAATCTTGTTGACGCGTAGGACTTCGCCTCCCGATGTTGCGTTATTGGAGCCCACTCTAACGGTCAGCATCTGAATGTATTCGCGAAAGAAGCGGGTCTCAAACGGCCTGGAAGAAATAAGTGAATGCAATAATATTTTATTTAGACTGTTCATTATCATCATCATTATCCTGCCCTTCTCCCAGTCACCTGGGGTCGGCGCAACATGTTTCTCTCACTCCCCTCTTACCCATATCGTCTTTCACACAATCTATCCATTTCTTCTTAGGTCTTCCTCTTCCTCTATATCCTTCCGCATTCATAGTTAACACTCTCTTACCAACCTCATTTTCATTTCGTCTCATCACATGTCCATACCATCCCAAACGCGCACTCCTCAGCTTCTCTCTCTAGACTGTTCATTATCATTGGTTTTAATTCTTCTGAACATTGTTGTCAGTGACAGCTTGACACTGAACTTCTCCTAAATGGCTGGGCCGATTTTGATGAACATTTTTAGTTTATTAGTTAGTTATTTACAATTCGATGTAGTAGGTGGCATTGCAGCAGTCGGGTGCTTGGTTCTTATTAATACGCTTATAATTACGCATGATTTTGACCCCCTTCAAAACGTCGGATTAATTCAAATTTTGTATACTTATTAAAGACCGAGGACAATACAATACTAAAAAAAATTAAAAAAAATGAAAAAAAATATTGAAAAAAATATATTGAAAAAATTGAAATTCAATTAAAAAATGAAAAATAAATAACAGTTTAAAATAACTAAAAAAATACGCTTTTATAGAAAATCCAAATAAAAAATAGAAAATAAATTTTAATAAATTTTGAATTAAAAATAGTGTAAGAAAAAAAATATTTTATTGTAAAAAAAGCGTGGGGTGCATGGTATCAGTAGTTATAAATATTTTATGAACAGATATGAGTAGAAGGGCTATTTTGATAATATCCTGAAAAGCACCCCACGCTTTTTTTAGAATAAAATCATTTTTTCTTACACTATTTTTAATTGAAATTTATTAAAATTTTAATATATTTTTAGTTTTTTTAAACTATTATTTATTTTTATTTTATTGTAACGAATTATGTTCTAGATGTGAAGGACCCGAAAGTATTTGGTAATGTAATTAATTGAATCAATATGAGCAAGGTACATACAACTGTAAGCAATGCGCGGCTGTTAGCACCCGGTTTTGACTGAGGATGGCTCCCCCGCACCACAGTTGGTTGTTCACTAAGAGCGCAGCCATGAATGGAAACTCTTCTATTGTTGCTATCTATAATATTAATATTAGTAGATACTTGTAGTTTTTTTTTAAATGATGGGGCATTACTGTTCGCCCAGAGGCCTTACCTTTTTTTTTGCTACCATTGCTGATAGCCTTGAAAGGCTATTTTAGCTTCGCCCTAACGTGTAAGTGAGCTCACGGGGCTCAAACCGGAGTGATGCTAACACTGACCCAAGCAAGAGCAGCGCTTCGCAGAATCTACCACCGGATGGGAAACGCGACCAATTGAGAAGATCCGACGAGAAACTCAGTGGGCTGTATCTGTGGTTAGGCCTTTCCAGTTTCACCAGGACATATTAAGGGCGAGCAAAGGCGAGCGCCTTCAAAGGAGACCTAACAACTTAAGAGTAACTGTTTTGCCAATGAATTTACCACCGGATCGGTATCGCGACCCACTGAGAAGATCCGGCAAGAAACTCAGCGGGCTGATGCATGGGTTAGGTGGCTCGTATAGTGAGACCGCGTAGGTACTACAATCTTGCCTATTTTTCTCAAAAATAGTCAATCGTTCCGGTTTGGATAGGATAGGAAGGATAGCCATATACAATACAATGTAGACTTTGGCCTTATGTCTTGGGGTGAAGATATTAATGTTTGTGATATCTGATGGCACTGGTTAATGGTTACCTAGCTACCTTGGAGCTGGAGATAAGTTCAATTAATATTTATGGCACTAGCTAACTTGAAAGTGTTTTATAGTCAAAAGTATAAAGGTATAGTATATACTTACCCCATCAGAGTTGTAAATGCGACGGTTGCTTAAGTTCAGCGTCGTGGAGACTGAGGTACTTTGTATTGATGGACTTGTAACTGAAATATAAAAGTTATCTTTTCTTAAGCATGTAGGTAGGTACGGTGATGTCCAACATGGACAACATCGAACGATGAACTTTTATAATGGAGAAATGAATCAGTAGAAATGTTAAATTTTGTTTTGACAATAACAATAACAATGATATACCGTGGAACATAATTCGAGAAGTAATTATAGTCTACTATAATTGGAAATAGGCCTCTCCGAAGGCACAGCACAGCACGTTAATAAATACGTTTGTGTATTTACTGAAACCGCTAAAAAATCGGCTAGAGTTATACTAGTTTCGGGTTTTTGACGGGGATGGAGGATGCACTGTCTCTTTCAGGCAAATCGAGTGTTGTTTAAACTTATGACGTTTGTCAGCATCGTCGTCATTATATAGTACTCACAGATTTTAGCTTTGTGTCACCACATCTCTCCCAACCAAATGCCCTAAATACAAGTCACCATCACCTTGGAGCGCGAACCGTCGATAGATCGACTCTCTATTAATGCGTACAAAGTGCCGAGCCTCGGAATACCGACTATTGTGCAGTTTCTTAGTTATTATTATTAAATATATAAAGTTTTAAGTGGAAGGAAAGAGAAGTCGAGGAAGATTGCCAACCAGGTGGATGGACATTATCAAGGAGACCACAAACACCAGCGTCCCGGGCCCCATTAAGCAGGCCGAATGCAGGCAACGTTGGAGGAAGCTGGTGCAAAAACTGGACCAAGTTGGTCACGACCCTCAGTATTGAGGAAACGACAAAGAAGAAGAAGAAGAAATAAAGTTTTAGTAAAAAACCTGTTTCATTTGAGTAATTTCATATGTCCCTTACACATAATTTTAGACATACATTTGAGGAAAATAATTAAGATTCTGTGCACGCTTAGTTAATAAGTTACTTTTTTTCAAAAATTCTTTAGCAAGCTCAGCACTATACATTGTAGTTTTAGTTTCTAACATTAATGTGACCTTGGTTGGTAACAACAAAGGTTTAAACACCGAGCATCAAGCACTTTATCGGCGCTCTCTGGCTAAAATTGATGTTGAATTTTTTCACTGGTGGTAGGACCTCTTGTGAGTCCGCACGGGTAGGTACCACCACCCGCCTATTTTCTGCCTTGAAGCAGTAATGCATTTCGGTTTGAAGGGTGAGGCAGCCGTTGTAACTATACGGAGACCTTAGAACTTATATGTCAAGGAGGGTGGCGCATTTACATTGTAGATGTCTATGGCTCCAGTAACCACTTAACACCAGGTGGGCTGTGAGCTCGTCCACCCATCTAAGCAATAAAAAAAAAAGTTTACTTATTTCTCAACATAATATCATTTTATTTTTTGTTATATTATTTTTATGAGTTTCAATTCATAGCATCATACCAGTAACGTCAGTTGTGTCAGGTTCTCCAGACCTCCTAGGGAATTCAATGGGTATGCCTTCGTATTGCCATTCTTGTTTGTCTCGTCGTGATATACCAATTTCTGGAGCTGTTGAAACGATTACCGTATTTTTGTTACACTTATTACAAAAAATAGCAACTATATAACAACTACATACTATCTGTCATGTATTAATTTGTCAGTGTTTTCTGTTCATAATCAATTTGTTGGTCTAACTAAATAAATAAATAAACCAATAAATTAAATAAATGAAAACTCGAGTGGCGATGAAATTCCACTATTCACGTAACCATTTTATATAGGGGAATTATAACCCAAAAGTATGAGTAGAATTAGTACCTAGTGCAGGTAAAAAGTCCGCGTTAGTCTTATTACTTTTACTGGTGGTAGGACCTCTTGTGAGTCTGCACGGATAGGTACCACCACCCCGCCTATTTCTGCCGTGAAGCAGTAATGCGTTTCGGTTTGAAGGGCGGGGCAGCCGTTGTAACTATACTGAGACCTTAGAACTCATATTTCAAGGTGGGTGGCGGCATTTACGTTGTAGATGTCTATGGGCTTCAGTAACCATTTAACATCAGGTGGGCTGTGGTGAGCTCGTTCACCCATCTAAGCAATAAATAAAAAATGTATTAAAATTATATCCTGGTGATTCGTAAAAACAAATCTGAAAAAATCGTGTGCTTACAATCATCTTTCTCAGAAGAAACATGAGCGTCACGTCCGGATATAAATGCAAAAATAGTAACAAAAACCACCATTTTGAATTTGAAAATCGGCGCCATTTTGCGTACTTAGTTTGTGCCAGTAAAAAATATAAATGAAATAAAACCATTGCAATAAACGTATGAAGATTTATTGAAAAACATTTACGACCACAAAAGGTTTTATATGTAGAACATTACGATCGAGATAAATTGTTATTCAATTCAATGTTTTCCCCAGCCGTAGCCCCAAGAACCCCAGTGCAGAGGGGCGGTTACAATCGGAGTTTTGATGATTGGAGCGGTGATGATGGGAGCGGTGATCACCGGGGTCTTGATCAAGGGGGCGGTGTAGAATGGAGCGGAGACAACAACGCGGGGGTACGTCAGGCCGTGGTTGACATAGGTTGAGCTTATGGACGCTGGGTATGCTGGGAATCAACGAAAATTATTTTATCAGTTATGTAATTTTAGTTATGTGGCTTCAGATAGTGAAATAGTTTGAAATGAATGTGATTGCGATTCGAATTTGCATTGCACACCACGAAAAATTAGTCTTCTTCGAAATAAGCAAACATTACGAAATATGCCATCTTTAAAGGCGGTTCTTGTCACAATTGATGTACAGACGAGCTGCTCTTACGAGTTACTTTTTGTTCAATGGGTACCGAAAGCAACTGTTCACTTTGAGGCGATTAACATCTCAATTGCACGGCCAATATCATTGTCACTTTCCAAAATCTTTTCAATCATCAATCTGCGGTAGGCAGCGGCTTGACTCTGCCCCTGGCATTGCTGAAGTCCATGGGCGACGGTAACCACTCACCATCAGGTGGGCTCTATACTCGTCTACCTATAAGGGCAACAAAAAAAAAAAAATCGATCGCGAGTTGTTGTATGAAACTAGGCGTTAAATAGCTTTTTGGGAGTCTTAACGACGAAAGGAAAGATCTTCCACCGAGCGGGTGATATTTGCTCGGTAGACCGACGGTCCGAATGTTGTTGTTCGGAACTTGTATATATGCGCTTTATCTTGAAAATGTCGTAAGCGAGATTCAGGCATCTGTCAATTATCTTGCGTCGTATGATGGCTACCCGCCACATCACTCCCCTCCGAGACTGAAGGTCGTGTCATTTTTAATTAGCGTTGTCCGTGCTGAGATTAGCTTGCAAGGGCCAGTGCTGCTCGAAGCCTGCGGTGAGTCGAGGCTGAGCTTGAATGCTGCGTGCGTGTCGCCAGTGCTGCTCGAAGTCTGCGGTGAGTCGAGACTGAGCTTGAATGCTGCGTGCGTGTCGCCAGTAGTCCATGTGTGCAGAGCTGCCACGCCGGAGATGTGTGACCCCAAGCGTTGATGATCCGGTCGTGGGCTGCGATGAACTGTTGCGGCGTGATGAGGCAGTGAAGTTGCGTGCCGTAGGACCAGGAAGCGCGGTGAGTCGGCTGCGATGGTCCTGTTGAGGCTGCGATGCTGGCTTGCTGTGGGACGACTGTCAATGACGTGCTTTTATCTGCGAGAATGCGGGGATTGTGGTAGCCGGAGTTCTTGATGCGCTGAAGATGAATCAGAAGGTTGCGTGTTCAGATCACGTCGGGGTCACCATTTTTGGGAGTCTTAACGACGAAAGGAAAGATCTTCCACCGAGCGGGTGATATTTGCTCGGTAGACCGACGGTCCGAATGTTGTTGTTCGGAACTTGTATATATGCGCTTTATCTTGAAAATGTCGTAAGCGAGATTCAGGCATCTGTCAATTATCTTGCGTCGTATGATGGCTACCCGCCACATCACTCCCCTCCGAGACTGAAGGTCATGTCATTTTTTTTAATTAGCGTTGTCCGTGCTGAGATTAGCTTGCAAGTGCCAGTGCTGCTCGAAGTTTGCGGTGAGTCGAAACTGAGCTTGAATGCTGCGTGATTGTCGCCAGTGCTGCTCGAAGTCTGCGGTGAGTCGAGACTGAGCTTGAATGCTGCGTGATGAGGCAGTGTAGGTGCGTGCCGTAGGGCCAGGAAGCGCGGTGAGTCGGCTGCGATGGTCCTGTTGAGGCTGCGATGCTGGCTTGCTGTGGGACGACTGTCGATGACTTGCTTTTATCTGCGAGAATGCGGGGATTGTGGTAGCCGAAGTTCTTGATGCGCTGATGATGAATCAGAAAGTTGCGATTGTTCCGTCGCAGGTCACCAGTTGTAGAGATATACGACAAAGGGAAGATCTTCCACCGAGCGGATGATATTGCTCGGTAGACCGACGGTCCGAATGTTGTTGTTCGGAACTTGTATATATGCGCTTTATCTTGAAAATGTCGTAAGCGAGATTCAGGCATCTGTCAATTATCTTGCGTCGTATGATGGCTACCCGCCACAAGCTTAATAAACATATTGTTGTCTTTCACATATTCACGTTTCATAATTTTTTTAATTAATTTTTTTTTTTTTATATAAATAAATATCTACATCTTTTTATTGATAAATTGCTTTACAAATTCAGTTACCCGGGAACACGAAACCTGCAAAGTGCTCGATCCTCCCGCGCTCGCTAAAATCGAAGCATCAGTGTGCCGAATCTCACTGACGGGACACGCGCCGATCGTTATCGCGTCCGTTTATCTTCCACCGGATAAGATCGTTCTAAGCAGTGATATCGAGGCGCTGCTCGGTATGGGGAGCTCTGTCATTCTGGCGGGCGACCTAAATTGTAAACACATCAGGTGGAACTCACACACCACAACNAAAGAGGTCGACGTGCAACCTAACCCATGCATCAGCCCGCTGAGTTTCTCGCCGGATCTTCTCAGCGGGTCGCGATTCCGATCCGGTAGTAGATTCATTCGCGAAACAATTGCTCTTGAGTTGTTAGGTCTCCTTCGGAGGCGCTCGGGCAGTTGTTAGCAAATCCCACCCCTCTTGGCCGAGCCTTTGCTCGCCCACCTGTCCTGGTGAAACTGGAAAGGCCTTCGGGCCACCAGTAAACTTTCAATCATAAAAAAAAAAAAAACCTGCAAAGTATTCGGAACGTCAGAAGTAATGAAATTACAATAATAATTTAGCGTGATTAAATCGCAAAAGAAGTTTTGGTCATGTCTTCGACTCTCCAATACCTAAGAAAGTACTACAGTCCAACTACACTTTAAATTTTATATCAGAATGTTCTCGCACATTGTAATCGCATTCAATATTCTACGATGATCCTGCTCAAATCGTTCGAAGCTCTGTTAGTATTGCACCATGTGTTGCAAGACGTATGTAATACACATTTCATTGTAACTAGTAGGTCGCTTCTTGTATTTTCTTGGCTAGTGTCATTGTCTTTTAGGGATAGCAAAAAAAGAGTTCAACAAAATATTAGATTCTCCGACTTCTTAAAAAAAACATTGCTTATCCTCATGAATCCGAGATTTTATTTTAGCATTTTATTTTAATAATATCGGAAAACTATTTACCGTGCCCCAGTCCCAGAGGCGGGACAGGGTTGGTCAGCACCATACCGACGAATCCCAATACGACTGCTACCTGAAATAAAATAAAAATGTTTTGCTAAAATAAAAATGTTTTGTTTGAATTTTGAATTTGGATATCAGAGACGCACAAAAGGACAAGCGCACTCAGTACTATTGTCCGAGATCTTGAACCGAAACGCAGACACGACTCGAATACAGCAAATAGCTATTTAATTAATACATTTAATAAAATTTAATACATTTAATTATATATTTTGTCGATGATCTGCAGACCGTACGCGCATGTACACTCGCCAGCAAACCCACCTCTGCCCTACAGAGTAAAGAGATTATGTCCGGGTAGAGGGGTTCGCCCCGAGGTTTGAACCGTGCCCCCACAAGGATGATGATAAACTTGAACTACATAGTATAAACCACGTAAGTAACTAATAAAATGAATCTTCATGTAACACAACGAACATTTAAATGTATGACTAGATGCATACTCATATCGTCGAAGATACCTGAGATATGATATCGAAGTTTTCTTTGACGAAGATTTAACGGCTATCCTGTAACTTTTCTTTTTTTATTGCTTGTTTGGGTGGACGAGCTCACGGCCCACCTAGTGTCAAGTGGTTACCGGAGCCCATAGACATCTACAACGTAAATGCCGCCGCCTACCTTGAGATATGAGTTCGAAAGTCTCAGTTTTTACAGTACAACGGCTGCCCCACCGTTCAAACCGAAACGCATTACTGCTTCACGGTAGAAATAGGCAAAATCAATGATATCTTCATGTCAGGACTTGACAGGACGGTGAGGTTGACACGAGTGGTCGGTTTTGAAGACAAGAAGAAGGCGAGTGTTGGATTTAAAAATATGTTGATGGACACTAACGCAATACTGATAGATGGCGGGAGAAGTACTAATGATCTTTGGATTCTTAACCAAGCAAAGCTGCACCAAGCATACACTGCACCAAGCATACGCAAGCTGCACGAGCATACGTTTCTCATGGGCTTCAGCAATGCTAGGGGCATCATTCTCTTCATCTTCGTAGGCAATAAAAAAGGACTTACCGCACACTTCATGTTTGTCTACAGAAAATACTGAACTACTGTCTTACAGTGCATTAGTTCGGTTTATATACATTTAAAACGGACCGGACGTGGCTAAATATCCTTTTCGCAGCGAAATCCTCGTCAACTGTCAGTTTAGCATCACGCTACGCTGTTAGGAGTTGCGGTAGTAATAAGGTCACGATTTGCATAATGGTCGAATGTTTCTATCGCTCAATTAACGTTCTTTGCCGTTCGCTTCGGGATACCATTTCGGCCTTGGCTATGATTCCTGAATAGCCGTGTGCCAACAGAACGGTCGTCTGGTGTAGTGGTAAGTGACATAGTCACTACACAAGGGGGTCGCGGGTCGAATCCCGCCAAGGGAAGGTATTTGTATTATAAATATAAATGTCTTTTCCAGGGTTATGGATGTGTCTTAAATATATGTATGTGTATAATAAAAATCTTACATTTATTTCCGTTATCTGGTACCTGTAACACAAGTTCTTTACGAACTTATCACGGGACCAGTTAACGTGGTGTGATTGTTAGTAAATATTTATTTACTTAAAAAAAAAAAAATGGTCCTGTAATTTTTAATTATTCTCGAAATTTTAAATCGTATCAAATTAGAATTCTTGGCGCTAATTACATTTGCGTGTTCAAACACCATATTATCATGTCGCCGTTTACTTTGACAGAGTGTTAAAGCTCAAGTCTAGTTTAAAGTTAAATTTACTGCTACTGCTTTAATAAATTACCTGCTATTTACTTTTTTTTTTATTATTGCTTAGATGGGTGGACGAGCTCACAGCCCACCTGGTGTTAAGTGGTTACTGGAGCCCATAGACATTTACAACGTAAATGCGCCACCCACCTTGTAAATTAAATTATCGGCTATTTATTGACTTCTGTCGTCGTGGCTTAAAGACAGTCGTGGACAAGACGCGCAGTGAGTTCGTAGCAAACAATGCAATTGTGGTGTTGAGATTTCGGGAATATGTACTTAATGTACGAGGCTTGTGGAGAGTACTTAACGGCAGGCAACGGTTGGCTCTAACCCTGGCAATGCTGAAGTCTATGAGCGACGGTAACTACTCACCAACAGGTGGGCCGTATGCTCGTTTGCCTACAAGGGTAATAAATATAATAATAATATACGTATTCATGACTATGATAGCCTTGAGAGGCTATTTCAGCGTTATCGAACGAGTAGGTGAGCTCACGGGGCTCAAACCTGGGGAAGTTGCTAACACTGGCCCTAGTAAGAGCAGTGCTTCGCAGGATCTACCACCGGATCGGAAACGCGACCCACTGAGAAGATCCGGCGAGAAACTCAGTGGGCTGTATCTGTGGGTTATTTTAGCCGAGCCCTTCGTCGCAAGCGACCGGTTTGACGAGAACGATGACCGGTGCTTGAGGTACCTAAAAGCACCGTTATTGAATCGGGAGGATCCGAAATGACGTGTTTTGGGCGACGTCAATGGTTTACCATTCGGTCCGCAGGATCGAGTATGTATGTAGCGTAATTAGCCACCTAACAACAGGTGGGCAACGGAATAGAATAAATTTACGAATTCTTCCAAATATTCGATCAACAAAGCCACAAATTTAACGAAAACGCCAAAACACTCTTCTTACTAAAATTGTACATCTCTATATGATATAAAAATGAATTGCTGTTCGTTAGTCTCGCTAAAACTCGAGAACGGCTGGACCGATTTGGCTAATGTTGGTCTTAAATTATTCGTGGAAGTCTAGGGAAGGTTTAAAAGGTGAAAAAATATAAAAAAGCTCGGAATTATATAAAAACAAACAATTTTGTTTTTCCTTTGGTGTGTCCCCTTGATGTGTCTTTTATTTATCGATTGAGGCACTACGAAGTCTGCCGGGTCAGCTAGTTACTTAATAAAGAAATCATAGACAAACATCAAACAACAACACGAATTACTTTTATTACAAACAAAAAATATATTTAATATTATGTCATAAATTACATTTTAAACTATTGACGAAACGTAATTATATTTCCCTTCTCAGGAGGATCGTTGTCCCGAAACACTTTTTATTGCTGAAACAAATGTAAATGTGAACAGTTACTCATTCTATTCTATTCTATCAGCCCATTGACGTCCACTGCTGGACATAGGCCTCCCCCAAGCCTCGCCACAAGGACCGGTCCTGCACTGCCTGCATCCAGCGGATCCCCGCGAACCTCAATAGGTCGTCGGCCCACCTTGTGGGAGGCCTACCCACGCTACGTCTCCCAGTACGCGGTCGCCACTCAAGAACCTTCCCCAACGGCCATCCGTTCCGCGAGCAATGTGTCCTGCCCACTGCCACTTATTAGATACTTATTATAGTTACTCATTAATAAATTAAAATTGGGTTTGAGTAAACCCACGCTATGAAGGTTCCCTGTCTAAACCAAAGCTTTCAACACAAGGCTACGGAGCCCCTTCAGTACTAATTTTGTTAAACCCTTTGAGTGTAATGTAGGTCATCGGAACCCTACGCGGCGCACTCAAGTAAGTCGTCGTGGCCTAAAGGATAAGACGTCCGGTGCATTCGTATGTAGCGATGCACCGGTGTTCGAATCCCGCAGGCGGGTACCAATTTTTCTAATGAAATACGTACTCAACAAATTTAATGTTCACGATTGACTTCCACGGTGAAGGAATAACACCGTGCAATAAAAATCAAACCCGCAAAATTATAATTTGCGTAATTANTCTACTTTAGTAAGAAGATCGAAGAGTGAATTCGACATAATTACTTTAGTGACTAGTAGACTTTTAGACCTACATGCCATTCAATGTGTTAAGTAGGTACTGTTGCGTGTGTGTGTAAGCGTCACTGATATAATTGATAAGGACGTAATTAAGTAATTTTAATTTACTGAAACTAAATCAGATTCTATGAAAATGAAGAGAAATTGTAAGAATGTTGTTAACATCTTTAACAAAAGTAATACAAAGTGATCTTAGAAGGGTTATATGTATGGGTGTTTTCAGTATCACTACATAGTATAAAACAAAGTCGCTCTCTTTGTCCCTATATCCCTATGTATGCTTAAATCTTTAAAACTACGCAACGGATTTTGATGCGGTTTTTTTTAATAGATAGAGCGATTGAAGAGGAAGGTTTATATGTATAATAACATCCATTAAATAGTGGAGAAATCAATAATAAATTACAGTTTCCGAAGCGAAGGGAGGGCGGGTCGCTAGTTCAGTATATACAGGAGAAATCCTACTTTGCTACTATCCTCCTCCTCTGTTGAGTGTGCGAAGCTTATTAATTATTTATAGTTGAGTTTTTATTCCATCGATTATTGGAGTCTAACCGTGACTTCTCTGGTGACGGTTGCGAAGTTTTCTAGACGGATCTAGAGCAAAATAAAAGTAGTCTACCTTCCATCGGTCGTTATCATAGTCCCATTTAGACGATAATCCGTCTATTGGGTTGACGCGTAACTCCAGCATCCTCCTCAATTGAGCCTTTTGTGACTCTTTGGACAGCGATTCGGGAAGAGGTTCATATACTGAAATATAAACAACTATTTTAAAATCCCTTGAATAGAATTTTATATGTATTAGTTTTGGGAAAATAAATCTAGTATAATCTTTTATAGTACAGTATCTTACCATAATAGTGGTTGAATATCATTGCCCAAAAGGGAAAAGACAGAGCGATAAGCAAATATCCCAGGATGAGTTTCCATTGTCCTGTATAGTGCTGAAATTCGGCGAAGGTCTGACAGAAAGAAGCACGATATAACGCTTTCTTCTCTTCGCAGCAGAGGAGTTTCCAATCTCCCTTCTCTTTCTCGCGCAAGGCCTGGAGAGTAACATACAACCGAGTGACTGACTGGCCTGGGTTAAGAGTTATTGGTTAGATTCCCACTTCGAGTTAGCGTAGATTTGGCGAAAAGTTTTTTTATTTTTTTCATTGCTTAGATGCATGGACGAGCTCACAGCCCACTTGGTGTTAAGTGTTTACTGGAGCCCATAGACATCCACAATGTAAATGCGCCACCCACCTTGAGATATAAGTTCTAAGGTCTCAAGTATAGTTACAACGGCTGCCCCACTCTTCAAACCGAAACGCATTACTGCTTCACGGCAGAAATAGGCAGGGTGGTGGTAGCCACCCGCGTGGACTCACAAGAGGTCCTACCAGCAGTAATTAGGCAAATTATAATTTTGCGGGTTTCATTTTTATTATGAATGGTTATTATTTATTATTTCAATCGTGAACATTGGTTGAGTAGGTACGTATTTCATTAGAAAAATTGGTACCCGCCTGAGATTCGAACACCGGCGCATCGCACCGGACGTCTTATCCGTTAGGTCACGACGACTTTAAAGGTATGATTGTGATTTGTCCTCGAATTATTATATTAAAATTATTTATAGATTAAACCAAGTTTAGCTGCCGATAAGAATCGTGATCAGTGATGGTACTCATGTTATTCAGAATATTAAGTATATCATTTTCCGCCTAATTCCATTTGTTTGGTCCATCTAATGTTAATATTATGTACTCTTAAAACCTACTAGTTTTCAGGTTATGCCGATAATAATCCCAAAATTGATATTTACCCAGATATCTTTGGTGTTTTCTTTGAATCTCACAGCTGGAAAGGGAAATTGCGCTTCGTCCTTGTAATTGGCCATTCCGTTGACGCCATAACCGACCCAGTCTCTGTTCCCGATCCTACATCGATTGTGAACACTTCTAACTAAATTTAAAGATATTTTAAATAATCTTTTTGGACCTAGTAACGACATTTTTTGACATTTTCTAATGTAACGTGTGTGTTTTTTAAGTTCTTTGTGTTTTGTTATCTTCGAAAAAGGTTTGTTAGGTGACATGTTTTAAGTGATGTAACTACAGGTATAATATTAAAATAATTTAAAATCGTAAAAGGCGATGATTTACCACAGAGAGAGTAGTTGCGTTCTGAGAGTTTTTTTAAGTTTCAGTATCACTACTTTCAAACGGCAACTTTGACTTTTATTATTGACTTTATTAACTTAAATGAGCAACGGTGATCACCAACCAACAATGCCGTCTGCCTAGAGTGGCAATAAAAATATCAGATTTAAAGAAACTTTCAAGGAAAAAACGGATTAGAAGAGATTAAGCAAATAAATGTCAGTACCTAATATAGTAAGCGGCACGTAAGTTGGCAAGGTTTTGGTGTAGTGGGGGTAATGTCGCGCATAGTGCACATTGCAACAAAAAAATTGACACTTTTATTGCCCGCACATAATTTAATTTAATTTTATTTAATTTTTTATTTGCCATAATTTGTTTTTAAGCCTGTGTGTTTAGAAGAAAGTTAAAGAAAAGAAAGGAATTCGTGAAGTGTATTAAGTGTTATAAATAAAATACAATTAAAAGTTAAGAAGTTTATTTAAAAAAATATACTTCATATTAAAAATTATGTGTCGCCATCATCACTATCATTTTCTAATAGTCCCATAGACATCTACAACGTAAATGCGCCACCCACCTTGAGATATGTATAAGTTGTAAGGTCTCAAGTATAGTTACAACGGCTGCCCCACCCTTCAAACCGAAACGCATTACTGCTTCACGGCAGAAATAGGCAGGGTGGTGGTACCTACCCGTGCGGACTCACAAGAGGTCCAACCACCAGTAAAAAATTCATTGTTATTCATTGTAAAAGAACACAGTTAATGATAAAAGATTTTATGACGTATGTCATGTGTATTTTTACTATAGGGAAACCTCCTGATCTGAATCTTAAAATGAAACAACATAAGACAATAACTTTTAACTGTATGCTCATCACTCGTTATCGAAAATCAACTGTGTTACTCGAAAGATGTCGCTGTTTGTTTTACTAGGTAAGGAATTGATTTTATCTTTATCAATTTGTGGTCTATCATATTTGTGTGTATATTGTTTCTTATTAATATTCTCTTTTCGGATTTTTCTTTTAACAGGTTGTGTGTTCTTTTTTTTAATCGTATTCTTTTCTGTTTTGGCATGGTATACATCATTTTTTGTTTTATCAATCTCAATACTCAGACCTTTAGAATCACTATAATATGTTTTAATTTCATAATTATCTGAAACGCTTTCGTCTTTATCACTCCTGTCTTCAATATCGGAAGAATCATTTTCACTGTCTTTCTCTTCTTCACTCCTTTTAGTACCTTTGAATTTTTCTGTAAAAAGCTTAATATATTCTTTGTAAGTGACTGTTGGGTGTGGCGTTATTTTATAAGATAACGTTGTCCAACGATAAGGAGCGTCTAGGTCGAAATCGACGTTATTTGGATGATTTATAGGAATGTTCTTTTTTTGTGAAGTAGTCAAGATAATTGATTTAGTTTGTCTACTACTTTCAGAATAGTTTGGTAAGAAAAATATTGTATTGTTAGCAAATGGATTGTTTGTCATGGACGAAGTCACTGGGGTGTTGAATACTTCATTGAATCCGTCGTTTAGATCACCGTACAGTATATCTTCTATGAGGCTAAAGTTTGATAGGAACAAATTACGTAAAATTTCGGTTAAAGTGTTAATTTTTTTCGAGAATCTCAAGTTCTTGTTCCCAAGTTGTGAGGGTTTTTTAATTTTGTGTTCCTTCTTTATCCGTTTACGCCGTATGTTTTTTGTTTTATGATTTCGTTTCTTTAAAGCATTTAGGGATCTTCTAAGCGGGATACCGTTCTGAAAATGAAATCGTACATAGTGTTTAAGTTTAGTACGAAAAAATGACACTAAATGTGCCAATGCTACCTTATTTACATTGAAATACAGTATAGGCTAAACCTTTGCAATGTTTTCTGAAATTGTAATATTGTGTGTATTTCAGACACTAATGCGCTCTCTTATTTATGGTAATGATGATGACGACAGAAACGCTTTGATCGAGAGATGAGGTATTACAAAATAATTAAATGGTTAATGTAAGTTTAAAAAAAAACGTACAGGTTTTACTATTCCATCAATCCATTCTGCATAGTATCCCAGCTTAGTGAACACCGTTGGCGAGTCATGCGCCCCACAAACCGGTGAACCGAAGCTTATCACCCCAACCAGTGTATTGCTTACGATACCCGGTCCACCGACGTCTCTCTGAAGAGTCAGAAAGTAAGTAATCATTGCTGTAACTTGTAATATAAGTTATAAACAAGGTGAACCATAACCTTAAAGATAATGTGAAGAGAACGCTCAGCCCGAGGCGACCCGAGGTGTCATTTAATTAAAACAAATAATTAAATGACACCTCGGGTCGCCTCGGCTGAGCATCCGAACCTCATCTGGTTCAAAATCCGAGAGGTAGCAGGGTCGTCTGGTATCAACACTGCACTCGCGGTGAAGTGGATGATGTACTGCCTTTTTTTTGTAGGCCTTTATTGCTGATACTAAGCAATGCTATTTACACATAGTAGCAAATTGTTTTAACTTAAATCTAATACATCGGGTTTCCCGGTTCCGTGATCAGCGTGTCCTGTGACACATAGGCCTCTTCCAGCTGCTTCCATTCTTCTCTATTGGTTCTCCCTCCAATCATCTTGATATCATCTGTCCATCTTCTAGCTTGCCTACCTCTTTTTCTTTTGCCATCACGTGGCTGCCATTCTGTTATAATTTTAGTCCATTTCATTCTGCTTTCCCTTGTCATATGCCCTGTTCATCGCCATTTTAACTGTCTTATTTTCTTTAGTACATCTGCTGTGTACTGTACATGTACTGCCTTAATCATAGCAAAAACTCACCTTCTAAGTTAAAATTTTGGTCTAGGACTCCGCTGATTGATTTTTAAAATTGTTGAACACAGTGCAGAATATATTGGCTAAGCGTAAAACTGGTATTTTATTGTTTTTATCGTGCATCTGCATTAAGAACCGTCTTTATACGTCTTAAGAGTAATATGTTTAATTTAATAATGTTTTTATATTTATCTAGCCTATTTCTATCTCCTATACCTCTATGTCAACTCACATTGCAGACTCCACTCCCTTTTGAGCTATATCCAGCGCAGAAATTAAGATTCGTTACGTAATGTCTGAAAAAAAGGTAAAATTAAAATTCAAAATTTTGTTCAGTTATAAACTGCTCGCAATTTTCGAGCCCACACGAATCGGAACTCAAATCTTGTTTACTTCTAATGTCATGTAATAGAGCACAGGTAAAACAGTCGTTGTACCAATACAATTGAAACTTCAATATTGTGTCTCATAGGTTGGGCAATAGCACATTTGCACGTTTTCCTAATGGTAGATCGTAATACACCTACATGCAGTTATGTAATACGATGCAATATGCAATTCTAATGTAAGTCTACTGAGGAAATATGCTAAATATATTTGCTCCCTATTTCGCACTGAATAATACCCGTATTTACATTTCTAAAATAGTAGTCATACTTCTATCATATGTCTTAAGAATGTCGGCGGCATTGATGCTGTATTTTCTATGCGCCTTCTACATCTTATGCTCAAATTGGTGTGTAGTAGATGGCCTACACACTGCTCAATCGAATGTAAATAAATTATTGTGAACACACTTCTCGCTAAACATGGCGTTTAGGAATGCAAAAGAGCATAGAGAGTGTCTTCCTGGAGGTTCGACCGTCCAATTTATGCTAGATAGATTATCCAACAATTGGCCCCAATTGAAATTTTATGAGTGTCTATTGCTCCTGTTAATAAAATGTTTGTTCAAAATTTTAACGGTAGGCAGAGGCTTGGCTCTGCCCCTGGCATTGCTGACGTCCATGAGTGACGGTAACCGCTCACCATCAGGTGGGCTGTATGCTCGTCTGCCTATACGGCAATAAAAAAAATAAAAAAAAAAAATGTGACACAAATTGTCGAAATATTTAAAGTTAAAATTGAAAAAGCTTACTCTGTGTATATCTCTTTACACGCTTCGAGATTGTAGACGTCAATTTCTGATTTTGAGAATGGCTGTTTGCTTGAGTTCTGTAATAACTGTTATGAAAGAAGTCAATTGATATTACGGGCTCTATATTATTATTTCCCTTATTGATATTGCTTAGGTTAAGTTGCTCTTCCCAGAATACAGTATTTTAGAAAAAAACCTGTGTGTTTGTCGATCGAGAGACACCCTCACTCAACAGTAAGAGTCGATCAAAGATGTTTTTTATTTTTTTTATTGCCCTAGTAGACAGACGACAGAGACGAGGTAAGTGGTTACCGTCGCCCATGGACTTCAGTAATGCCAGGGTTAGAGCCAAGCCACTGCCTACCGTTAAGCACTCTCCACAAGCCTCGTTTGAAGAAGGACATGTCATAGCGCTCGGGAAACACCGTGGAGGGGAACTCATTCCAAAGCCGGATGGTACGTGGCAAAAAAAGATCTCTGGAAACGCACCGTGGACGAATGCAGTGGCTTCTGGTTGAAGCAATTGAGCGATACTTAATATGCAGTCTCACAAAGGAATTATTACAATTAAGGAGGTTTACAATTAATCTCGTCTTACTGTAATGGATGATGAATGTTTGAGGTTAGAGTACTGACAATTAAATTTATCAATATACCTAGTCAGGTCATAAATTCTGTCACATGTTTAATGTAAAATAATTGAAACAAGTTTATTCATTATGTAACCATTCATATACCAAAATGAACTTAACAAAACATAGATTCTTATGACACTAAAGTTTATTCAAAATGACCTCCGTGATTTTGATTACAGGCTTCAATCTGCGCGGCCAGTCGTCTATCGCAGCACGAACGAGGTCCATGTCAATATCGGCGGCTGCCTTAATCAAGGATGTAT